GAATTGGTTGCATAAAATTGGGCAATGTATTATTGTGGAATTTCATTCCAAACCTGAAGAAGTCTTTTAATTAACGATTCTTTGGTTCAAGAACCTTTTAAATCATGGTTCGTAATGTTTATCCTACGAAGCCAAACGTTTTCAACGATGTACAAATCTGGATTGAACGACGCCACGGAAAAACTTGAGTTCTTCTTGGTCAGAAATAAATCGTTATAAAAATGGTTTCCTTTTACGCAGGTGAATTTTTACTTTATATTTGTGTAAGACACTCATTATTTTTTGCTTGGAAGAATTTTGAGCTGCAAAACATTGCTTATCGTCGAATTTCATGTCTTTTACTGTCCCTTGGTGTAAAAATGGTGAAATAAAACAGACAAAATCGCCACCCCTCTAACGTCAATTTTTTTGTTCACCCACTTCTCGGTTTATTACTATTGAACACTCTCGAAAAACTTTTTTTGATTTATTGAAGCCGTTGTGTGGCTGCATCTAACATGGTCAACAATTTTTTCAAAAACTAAAGACGTTTTCCCTGTAAAAATTTTATAGGGACTCGCATCTCATTTGACAAATTTTCTCCCTTAGACGTGGTCTACATTTTTACAAAAAACAATGTTTTTGCGTAAAATTCACATCTCTTACTAGGTGTTCTATGGCGTCAGCAAAATTTGCAAACTTTGCCGAAATTTGCTATAAAATATGCCTTTTTAAGACAATTCATGCATTCAAATGTTTTGTATTGTAAAATATTGACAAAAAGTGCCGCCATTTTGCACAAGATGGTGCAATACTTTTGTGAGGGGAGTGTACGCCAGTCCAAAATTAACACTTATGGGCATTTTTCGACTTATGTCTGTTCGGCATCATTATCAGCGACTATATCTTTTAATATAACTGTTCAATTGTTTAAAAGAGAAGAGAAAGCTACATTTCATATTTATGTAAAAGAGAGTAATTATTTATTGAAGAAAGTCTAAATAGAGAAATGGGCTCCAGTGCCTTATTCTAAAAATGGCATCAATGGGAAAAATTTCATTCCAGTTCCTCTTAATATATTTTAATATCTAATAATGTACGTATATCTTTCCTTTCGCATTTTTTTCATAAATCAGTTATGGCATATGGAAATTGGCCCAGTTCGAGGACTGAGGCCCAGTACCCCGGTCTAAAAATAGCACTTGGAGGCATTTTTCGGCTTGTGTCTGTTTGGCATCGTCATCAGCGCATGGAATTACCCCTGAGTACCCTTTTTCATGCTGGCATCAGAATTTGCACAATTCAAGTCAAATACTGTGCTAAGAGCCCATACTAGAACGGGTGGAAGCGGAAAGAAATAAGTGACGGCGTTGTTAACTTGGGACGTAGTTGGATATATATCATGGAGTTATAAGCCTCCATGGAGTTATAAGCTTTCGACATGAATAGCGTGGTGCTCCGGATATTTTTGGCAACGACTGCATCTTTGACTTTTGTTATCCAGCCTCTTTATTCATAGTATCCACTCTGAAGCTAAATTCAGAGGTGAATAAGTAACCAAGTCTAAAGAAAGGAGAAAAATGGAAGAAAAATTGAACAAAACCTGATTCTAAACTTATAGGCTAGAGAACTAGGCCAAGTTGCGCTCCCGAAGTGCAAAACTAGTATCTTGATCGTGTTTTCTGTTTAAAGTAACCATTTTGTAACTTTCTCTTTTCTTTATCTCAACCTAGACCTACGAAACAGAAAAATGCAAGATGAAAAGGTATTTTATAGAAAGAGAAAGTAGCTACCAAGAAAGGATTCACAGTTTGTCAATCGACAAGGAGATGCTGCTAGCCAAATTGAATGCCGCTGAGCGAATATCGGTACAGCGCAGGTCAATAAGCAGCGAAAATCTTGAGAGTCTAACAAGCCAAAATGACGTTTTGAGGAAGGAATTAGACATGGTAGGTGGTAATTTTATGCTTAATCTATTTGTCTCTTAGAAAATTAACCAAGAGTAGAGACTGTTATTTAAGGCAGGACTTTTTAGAGATGTCTTAGCCAATGCCAGGTTGGCTTTAGGGGTTATATGCGCTTTAGTGAAGAGTGAAGTGTATTCTTTGCTCACAAGGCCCGGGATCAGAAAATCATATGAAGGACCTTTTCTTCCCAACAGTTTGTGATTAGATACGCAGACGATAAAATTTAGGCAGTATAACAATGCTGGACCTTCTAAAAAAAGCTTTTGAATGGTTATGTCTACAAGGGTTTCTTGCCAAAGAATCATGATATTTCATGAAGACGATTTTCTTCTTTTGTGAAGGTTGAAAGCAAGACCAAAATTGAATCAATTGTTGCATCCTTTTGGGACTATAAACTCCCCTGTTGCTAATTCCAGGGGCGGATGCAGAAAGAAATCTGACATTCGCAAAGTTTCGACCACGCCTATATGACCACGCCCAAAAAAAATCAGTCACATTTTACTATAGTCTCAGAATCGAAGTTTTCCACTTAAAGATGTATTTTTCCTTATATTAAGTTTTAGGATTAGGAAACAGAAAATGTTGAGGCTCAAAGGTTGAGAAATTTAAGGATAAATATTAAGAATAACAGCCAGGTCTGGATTTCATTGACAATTTGGCATTTTACTTATTGAGTGAACAAGAAAAGAGATCTCTGGAAAAATTTTGAGAAACACTCATCAAGTTTTTGTTGTGTTGGCATGTTTTGTTTCCTACATGGCTTTTTTGATGGAAAAACAGCAGCAAAGATTTGAAATGTCCTCTTAATAATGATTTAATGGCAAGTCTAGGCACAGAACCAAAAATTGTCAAGAACAAAGAGGATGAGCTAAAATAAGGGTATATTAGATGTGTGTATCACCCCTTCTCAGGGAGAAAAACTCATGAAAAACATTTTATGTCACTCACTTAAAAAACAGCCATTTAAAGAAAGGAATCTTAGTTCTATTTATACAATGATATTATTTAACAATCAAATACTGTGTTTAGTGTAGAAATTTTCAATGCAATATCCACCCAAATGTTTGACTTCAACACCAAGTACCTTAGGGGCTCAGAGCTTTTCTGTTATTTATTTTGTGCATTCACCTTTCTATCTAAACTGCTGTGTGATGTGCCTTAAACATGGCCAAAAATACCAGTTAGGTCAATACACATCATACAATTTTAGTATTTTCAGGTGTTGGTAAAACAGCAAATGTAACAGAATTTAAAACAATTCATTGTCTTTCCACAACAAGAACATCATAAATATATATTATATACAAATTTTAAATGTACATCAAACAAAGTCAGTAATGGCAAAAAAAATAAGGCAAACATGGTAACTTTTACTATATGGATTTATATGAGATATTTACTTGGCAGAACCAACTTGCTGTGAATTTCTTATTAATAATGTAGTAATTCCCCCATTAGGATCATTCCATTGATTGCACTTATTTACTACCCATATTTACATTTATTTACACACACAATTACATAGAAAAGAAAACTGTCAGTCACTTGCAAATTCATAAACAAAAATTAATGAATCTTAAGGGTATTTCAGAACCAAAAGTTTCAAATGGTATACTCTTATAGTGTGGAAACCACAAATAATTTTACTAGTTTTAGAGGTTAAACTCGTGAAAAGGGTTACCATATTTATGGCATGACCAGACAAATAAAATCAAAATACTATTACAATTTCTCATTTACAAATATGGCAGTCTAGATTTTTCCAAAACTGACAGCATAAAATTAACAAGAAAAGAATACGCCGTAGAAAATGCAATATCTTATTCAAAAACAAATCCCCAGCACAGTCAAACTATTTACAGGTTTGTGATAATAACAACATCTATCAATAAAAAATATCTAGAACTCTAAAATTCAGCATATTCAAATTCATCAAGATATTTATAGAACAGCATCATTCGTCAGAATGCTACATCATCATTATCAAGATGTACCTGACTTGAACCCTAAAAGTTCTGATTGAAAGCCTGCATAAAAATGGCTATTTACCTTAAAATGCAACACGTATTTTTCAAAATATTATTTGAGTCTGAATCTCTGTCTAAATAACGTCCTCCATCATGAAAATGAAAACATAGGCAAAATTTTGGTTCAACAATTTTAGGTCCAACTGAACTGTCCTCGCATATTGCCATCTATCAAATTCCATCCATCAACCAAAATCTTCGACAAACTTTGAACATCTTCATAAGAAATTCGCTGATTCAAATTAAAAATCATCTTATATTTGACTCCTTTCACTCCCTCTGAAGTACAATTGCTCCTCTTCTGCAAGCAAATATCTCCACAGCTTTCCAACAACAATCATGGCGGTTGATGTGGAAGCGAGGTTTCAATCTGCTCTCTTTCCAAGGTTCTCTCCCTCAACTGGCTACCGAACATAGTTCGCATCTACCTTCGCCACATTCGCAAAAAAATTTCCCATATACATTTCCTATTGGTTTTCAGATGGCTAAATAACATAGCTTGACTGACATTCGCACAAATTTTTGGCATACATTTTTCAGTACTACTTCATTTGCGCACGCATGCCTAATATATTATAATTCCATTCGACATTCGCATCAAACCTTATTGGTGCTCTGTGAATTTATGCGTAAAAGGGGGAGCCCTCTTTCGAATATATCATCTCTAAATCACGAAAACGAGGGAATAAAACCTAAAAAGTAAACAACAAGGTGACATCATAGCAACTAGGGCAGGAAACAAAACTTTTATTTCTTGTTTTCTGTGGACCTTTTTTTATTATCTGGCCATTTCTAGTACAATATTCACAATGCTAAAATGTATCAACAGACAATTACAAAAAGACATGTGGAAATCTGACATTCGCCAGTGCGAATGTTGCGAATGTCTGGATCCGCCCCTGGCTAATTCTAAAGATTTTTAGAAGTATCTTAAGATGAACGCTGAAGAATAACAAGACAAATTTGCTCTGCTATCTTGTTCATTGGTATCAACCATCGTGTTTACATCTTACGATTCATCTAAATTCACAATTAACGCGCTCTCTTTCAAATCTACAGTCCCTGGTTCTGAGTAACGCTACAAAAATTCTCCAATTTTAACTACCAATAAGAAGCAAGAATAACATGTGCAGTTTTACGTCAACTAAAGCTAATTAACAGCAATTTTTATGTAGAAATAACGCTGCATGCCTATAACACGCTGAACGCTTATAACTAAATTTACCTAAACATGTATCTGTAGCCAAGTTATGGAGTAAACAAGCAATGTTAAAGGTTCTACCGCGATCCTAACGAGTTCACCATGCGATCCATCTAAGTGAACCGCAGGAAAAACAACTAATCACTACGCAATTCTGTGTTTATAGCAAATAATTTACCAACTACGTGTAGCAATTATGGTAAGAAGAAAAATGCCCGAAAGCAATGGAAAAGTTCCAACACATCCACTGCAGATCTCTTCATGCGATAATTTGACCTTGCTTCTAGTCTAATTGTTTCAAACTCTAACCAGGGGCGGACTGGCTGGTCGGGCTATTCGGGCAATCGCCCGAAGGGCCGGTCAGTTTAAGGGCCGGTCAATAAGAGTGCAAAAAAATAAATTGGTTTAAAAAGTGAATGCGAGGAGAAAAAAGTATACCCACGTGTTGATCTGTTTGCCTTGAATTTTCAGAGACTTTGTGAGAAAGAATAAATATACACGCGAGTACTTCAAAACCATCAAAATTGTGAATTCATTATTGTCATGCTGTATTATCCAGTTGATGGATAAAACATGTTGGATATGTTGGATAAAACAGCATGTTTCTTCCAACATAAGAAACAAAACTGCCCCTCGTCTTCCAACCAACATAAGAAAGAGAACAGCCTATTTCGATCCACAACTGGGTATATATTTTTCATCGTGTTCTTTCGGACCCTGATTCTGACGTTTTATGCTCTGAGCAGTGTCAGACAAAAAAGCTTTTAGTATGTCGTAAAATGTTTGCTTTTTTCAAAGCCATTAACCAGGCTCTGTTAACCATGTTCTGTTAACCATGTTCTGTTAACCATGTTCTGTTAACCATGTTCTGTTAACCATGTTCTGTTAACCATGTTCTGTTAACCATGTTCTGTTAACCATGTTCTGTTAACCATGTTCTGTTAACCATGTTCTGTTAACCATTCATCCATGCACAAAATTACTGAATTTAAAAACTTGTTTTCCGTACAGACTAATATTTTCTAGCATTTTCCGAGGAATTTTTTATTTGCTATTATTATGGGCCGGTCTGATCAAAATGTGCCCGGGCCGAAAAATTAGCCAGTCCGCCTCTGAAACACATTTACCGAATGCTTTTTAAACAGTTATAATTGGGTTCAAACTCCAAATTCGACCTGTTGCATAAGCAAGTTTTCTGAAACTAAGTCACTTCCTCGCTAGCACTTTACATTTGACAACTTGTTAAGGACTCCATCCTTTTCACTTATAAAGCGTGCATTGACCGTAGGGAGAGGGTCTGGAACAGGGATGGCAAGTGCTTTTCAATTATTACAGCATTTTGAAAAGATCAGTTTTAACTTGACTTTTCTTCTCCATTTTTCTCATATGTTTCAAAACCCGTGAAAAGTTTAAGCTCGCTGCCCACTCTTATAAATTGATCTCACAGCGCCCCTTTATTTGCAAATATTGTTACTCATGCAGTATGCATAAAAACTTTATGAATCCGTCTAATTTTACTATTTTATCTTCGTTTGTATACTAATCCTTTCCTGCAGGCGTCTACTTTCAGCTTAGAACCTGACTCTTTCAGGTCTGATAGAAACCCAAACGCCCTTTCATCTTCTTGTAGACCAGGCATTTAGTCTTTCGATATAGTCTGTCATACAGGCTAGTCTTCTTGTTGCTTATGCTATAATCGTTCGAAAGACTGTTTACCAATCTGTTAACTAATCAACTTCCTTTGTTTTGACATAAAAATTGTTTAGCAAAGAGACCCAGTTAAAGCTTTATAGCAAATAACAATCACCAATCATCTTTTCCTCAAGTCATGGATTATTAATGAGACGAAACAGACTTTTAGAAGCAGGTATTTTTCTTTCAGTAGCTAGTTTCAGACGCGGTACTGCTTGGGATAACACCATGCATGTATCTTTCGTGTCTCAGTGCGTTTTTTAATCTGACTGTTTTGTTGAATTCATGAATTTATCGAGTTAGCATGTCCTTTGCTGGCGGGGACTCAAGCCATTTCAACAAAAGTCGATTCCCAGGTATTTTTAGCGTGCTGATTTATCATCGACTATTTATGTTAAGCTCTTTTGTGTTTGCATTTCATTTAGGCCACTTGTAAAAACAAAGAACTTTCTCTTCAAGTGCAAACTTTGAAACGTAGAATTGAAGGGAGGTCAATGTCAGCAAGCTATTGCTCTGAAGATTACTTGGAATTGAAGATGGTTAACGAGCAGGTAAGAGAACTCATTGTCTGCGCCATGTTGACCGTTTTGTCGGAAAAATCATCTACGTAGTCGTCAATTTTCATTGATTATTCAGGATTGAAAACTGGAGTAAAAGTTTCATTTAGCTTGCACTTTCAGACATTGGTTTTTGATTGATGAATTTTTTGCTCTCAGTTAACTTTTTTTGCAAAAAAATTGATAGCATTTAACGTATAAAGCGAATTTGTACATAAAAAGCAATAACATTTTATAATGTTTCAGCTAACTTTTTTGTAAAAGACCTGGTACCATTCAACGTAACAAGCGACATAGTACAGGAACTGTATTTAGATTATACGGTACTTCATAGTGTTGTAGTCTAAAAATCTTATTACTTTCCATGCACAAGTCGTTTTTTACTCTGAATTATGTCAATTGTCACTCAACGACGAATAACATGCTGAAGTCCAGTGTCAAATCTGTTTACATCCTTGATGATTAGTTAGGATACAAAAAGTCAGCACTTTTGGAATTATTTGGAAATTTTGCTTGTTAATACCTATCAAATCGACCTGCCTATAAAACGCTGTATCAAATGGTTGCCATGAAACTAAACAGCAGATAAGGTTTTTTTGTAAATGTCGGTTTGTCATAAAAAGACTTGCAAAGTTTTGCTAAAGACGAATCCTTTATCAGAGATATTTGATAGTAGATCGAAAAGATTTGAAGTTAAAATTATACTTTTGGTAGACTCAAGAACTCTTTGTCAAATATTATGTGTTAAGGTTCGTTTAATATTTGCATTTGCATTTGATATTTGCAAATATTATGTGTTAAGGTTTGTTTGATATTTGATATTATTCCTCTGCTTGGATGCAGATAAGAAAATTACGAAGTGAGAACAAATCTTTGGGTGAAGCACTGGAAGATTTAGCCACTGAAAAACTCTCTTTTATGGAAGATGCAGAAAAATCGAAGGAGAAGATCGTTGTGTTAGAACAAAAGGCGAAACATCTTGAGCAGCAGGTAGGTTGACTGATTTAGAGTGACATGAGGCCTGATATCAGGATATGTTTAGTCTCGTTAGCAATTGAAATATCAAAGGGACGTTATAAGATAAGAATAACGTGAAAGATTTTCTATTGAACCTTAGATATGCTAATTTGTCTTCGAATCTCGTCTGCGAATAAGTAAGGAGGTCCTCGAAATTTTGTTAATTGTTTTTGTTTACTTAAAATTTGCTTATATCTACGGTTTGTTTGTTTTTATTCATTTCTCAATATGTGACATGATTTCTGAAATTCTCGTATTTTTCAACACGATACCTCATGAGAACTTCATACTCTTTATGTTTGTTATTTTTTAGTTTAAGAGGTCTTTATGAAAATTTCATTTTGAAATTGCTAAAAAAACACTTGTGTAGTAGTTAGGTCCCACTTTCGATTCTAATTGATGTACTCTTTTATATGCATATGCCTACATTTCAAACTCATTCATACTTGATTTTGTTAAAAAGCTTTGGCATTAATTTGAAAGAACTGTCTTTCGTTTTGAATGATTTTCTGCTACGCATTAAATCTTTATATCTGTTAGTGATATTTCTTTGTAACTAGGTATTGTTTCTGATAAGAGGAAATTTGAAGTAAATATTTTATCAAGTTGTCTGCGATTTAGAATTTTTAAACTGTGCATTTATTGTTCACTCAGTTAATGATGAAGTTTATGGAATTTAAATAAAACTTTTATGCTTTTGGTGTTTTTAGTTTTACTGCGTTGGCGCCAAGAGAAAGTTTATTAAATATTGACTAAAGTTTTTACAAATGTACGCAAAAAACAAACAAAGTGTCACAAAATGCATTTTTGGAAATAATAAAGATTAAAGATTATACGAAAAAGTTTCAGAGAAGGAATTGGCGGTGCAGTTTTTTTAATTTCTTTATTTAGTATGGCTTTTAGATATTTTTAGGCTGCATGTTTGATAATTTATCCAGACGCTTTACCCTAGAAGAAATTAATACCGGTGTTTCATATATGCAATACCTTTGAATTTTTCTTTCTTGAAGATTGTAATAGCAAAAAGTGAACTGGACGAGTCAAAATCATCTAATTTGCAACTTAAGGAGCAGCTGGAAGATTACATTTTGCAGGTGAAGTGCATTTAAACATATTTGATTTTTATTTATATATATAAACGAGGCAGGGGTGTTATTAGCAACATTTTAGAACCTGTTTTAGTGTGAATTAAAAACACAGGATAAATGTGTAACTTTACTTTCTTAAAGTTAAGGAAGATTTGTTAATTTTAATTCTACTGTAAGTGAGATGTAGTTTTGAAGAAATTTGAATATTTAATTTCTGTCATGACTATGTGTGTTTTGTAACTACTAGTAAAAATAATATTTACGAACGAAATTATAGAATAACTCTTCAACATCAGACGATGTGACATAGAACAATGCTTAAATTTTTATTTTTTTAAGCTTTTATTAACGTTTTTGAAGTTTGAGCCCTGCTGCTCTAACTTGATTTCTCGGTATAGGAAAGGTGTGGCTCTTTTAATAATAAAACTTTTTGAATGCGATGCTTTAACAGTAGCCCTTGAGAAATGAACCATTGGCTTTAAAAGTGCAATTTTAATATAATCTTTACTATGAGCACCACGCATAAAAATACAAGTTTAATTTAAAAAAAGACCATCCAGTATGGTAATCGAAACTTTGATGATATAAAGTTTTGACTTAGCGTGGTTTGATACGATTTAATTTGTATATTATATTTTTAACTCGTATGTTTGATAACATTAAAAAAAGAACACCGTAAACTGCAGCTACAAAGACAGTTAGATGTGCTAGAATTGGTTGTGGTGTTTGGAATATGAGGCCATATCTAAGCCAATATTTATAACATTTAACTGATTTTACGTATTTAGAGGTATTTGAAGATACCCTTACAAGTCATATGGTTCAGTCATAATTTTTCATGACATCATCATATAATTGCTCTTTACTGTTTTGTCAATCTGACTGTTAGCTTGCAAAATGGTAAAATCAGGTCTAGTAAAGAGGAAGAAAACGTATCTGCCTCTCTGTTGCAGAACTGTTTTGTCTTCTTCGTCAATGTTTCATTTATTAAAATGCCATCGTACAAAAGAGCCCTGTTGTCAATATATCCCTCAGTCGAGTTTCCAGGAATCTATACTTATGAGGCTGGAATATAGCTGGAATATTTTTCACCAATTGTTTTATATTGAAGGTTCAAGGGAGAAAGCAGTTGGTATCGTTATTTATGCAATAGAGCTCCTATAAATTCAAAATAAGGCATCGTAGGTCCGTTTGTTTTCTAATTGTATCGGAAATATCTTAAGAGACTAAATTGCCCATTTATAAAATTTTTGAAGGGGTTGGCTTTTTCAGTTCCTAGCAGAACGTTTTTAACTTTGTATTTTTTTAACGTTAAAAAACCCTAGTTCCTAAACGTTAACCAAATTTGCTATTGTGAATTTTTTTTCTCATATCGAAAATCATTTTTAGGCTTTACAACCTTTTTTTTTATTTTTGAACCCGAAAGTTTACACGTTCTTTAGAGCTCTTAACGACTTTTTATAGCCCCTTTATGGTAAATGTTTTATTTTCCTTTGACTGCGATGTTTATTTCATCTACAGTATTATAATTAATATTTTTTACAGTTTTTTTTTCTTACTGCAGGCTTCTAGAATGAGTTTCACTGCCAGCAATTCACTTTTAAACGAGCTTGAATCAAGCATTCACGAAGAAGGTGATAGAATGTTTGTAGATAGCAAATTGGACGACAATGACGAATTCACACCAAAATTCATGTCTAGTCCTGATCGGTTACGAAATGGACGAGTTTCTTCCTTGGAATGTGAAAGAGAGGTAAGCACGGTGTCAGCTCAAGTTTCTAGTTTCATTGTTTCACAGAGCAAGGTTTTGTATGTGTATTTCATATCTACAAAATTCCGCTTTACGCTACACCCATGATGAGTAATTCGCAACAATTTCTCTTACAAGTTGGTCCAAGTTCGCGATACATGACAATTTTTTATCGAAGATATAAAAATTCTATAAACACATCATTCTATAATACACACGAAGCTGCCAATTTTTTTATAAATGACCATTTTGCTTTACCAAAGTCCCAAAGTTGAATTTTGCAAGTTCTGTTGTTTCGGTCGATTTCTATTCAACCTTTTTTGATCAAGGACACAATTTTTCATTAAAATAATGACGAGGCACACCATATACTAATAGAATATTTTCATTCACTCCGTGTTAAACCTGGGCCTCTGTTTTTGACCAATCACCTTACATTTGGAGCTGCACTTACATTTTAGAAAACCACAAAACGACGAAAAACAACTCATTTTCAAAGGATCAAAACTGAAAATAATTTAATGTTAATTTTGTAAAAGCCCTTGATATGCTCCCGCTGATAGCTGGCAGCTGGAAAAAATGAAAGTTTTTAGATTTTTTCAAAAACACATAACAACATTTTAATGTCTTTTGCATATTGGTATTTATTTAACAGCAAAACATGAGTCAGTGTGTTTGAATCCTGTTTACATATAGAAAGATAAAAGATGGAATGCAAGACGAACAAAAGGTGTCTGGCCCCAGTAACACCCTTATTCGAAATCTGGCCTACATTTGCCCACATTTTAGTCAATCACTCTTTAGAAAAGCCTTCGCAATGGGTACGCCTAAGTGAAATCTTGCTTTACGTCTCAAGCTTTTATTTGTGAATTTGTTGTTGTCTATCAAGGAATTTTCTGTTGTTGCCTAATGAAACTTCAGCTTCTTGTGATCTTTTTTCTTACCTATCTTTTAGGACAAAGAATCTCCAGCTACCGATCATCAGTACTTAAGAAATAACTCCAGCGATTCATCGACAACAGAGTGTTTGGAGAGGCAGGTATGATGTGGTATATTTTCTACTGTGATGCCTTATAACTGACTACAATACAGTTAACACTTACATACTCTTAAGTGATATGCTTAGATGTGCAGAAATAGATGATTCTGTGTTGCGGAACTGATTTCTGTTTATTTTAATCTGCAGGTCTTTTGATTTCTTATTTGATTTGAATTATCTATCATTTTGGAACAAAAGAAAAGCTGAATGACCAAATTCAATCGAAGACCCTATTATCTAGGCGCAGGTTAAAATTTGAAAAAAATGTTAATTTTACACACTTTTCACAAAAATTGAAGATACTACTTATTTATTTTAAAAAAAGTTTAAAAAAAGACAGTTAGCACTCTACATATAACCATTTTTTCGGCCACCATTTTGATAATCCTGTCACGGAAATGTATGTTGTGAGGATTGTAAGACGTGGGCTGCAAAGATGAGCTTGAACTTGGTTTTATCTCATTTTCATTAACATAACAACTATTTACATTATTAAAGCAATAACTCAAAACTCTGTTGTAAACTCCATAACTCGCGAACTCGACTCGACTCAACTCGTGAACTCAACTAACTCAAAACTGCCACACCTATTTCGCATAAGCACGAAAACGAGGTTGTGACGTACGCATTGTAACAATGTATAACGCAAATAGCTTACAACATTCTATTTCCAAGAAGTATCAGAACAATGTTTTTAACAATATTTTCGATAATGTTGGCTGGATGCAGTTTACTTTGCTTTAGAAATCAATGGTTACCAGTTAGCATGAAAGTAAAATTTTGTGATTTTTATGTTTTTTTAACAAAAGTACTGTTTGTCATAGATTGAAGAGCTCAACAAAAAACTAAACGAATCAACGAGGAGTTATGAACAGTTATATAAAAAATACACGACGAACGTTGGTCAGTTGAGAAATGCTGAAACGAGAATTATTGATATGGAGCAGCAGGTGAATACCGTAAACATTTTTAATATGTCTTAAACACTGCGTCATAGATGGAAAGACGATAATCATGAAATTCGATTGTAGGTACTTCTGTAACTCACTTTTGCCAGTAACTAAAGGCTAGTTTACACTTGGTTGCAACGTATTTGTGCTGTTTACACATAAAAAAACAGATGCAACCTCCAGCAATATCCGGTTGCAAAAACTGGCAACAAGTTGCAGTAATTTTGTCAGTAATCCTGGAGACCCAGTAAAAAATCAAACAAAATGGAAGCAGACGCTGGCTTTGTAGCAGTGCTGCACAAACGAAAATTTAGACTGAAGCAAAGAAAAAAAGACTTTGGGTGAAGTTGTGAATCGCAAGGCGCGATAATTTAGGGGCTTGTAGCCGCTTGTTTCTGTCCTTATACTCGTCCAATTTTGTATAATAGAGGCACGGGTACCTCTCGAGATTTTCAACTAACATGTTTTTTTTGCCTCGGATGACCATTCGAACTTGATCAATTTTGCCATTTTGAACTGAGTCGTCACCAGGAAACCCACGACCACACCACAGAGTAAAAATCACATGATATTTTGCAGTATTCTCATTGGCCAGTGACCTGCAACCTATTGCAACTTCACTTGAAAATAGGATCTCGATCCTAAATTAGTCGCAGGTTGCAGTAGGTTGCAGTAGGTTGCAAAATGAAAGTTGCTGTAAGTCTCACGTCCGTTTACACGTGCAACTTTTCAGTCTCACCATGTTTGTGCGACAAGTTGCGTGAAGTTGCATATAAAAAGTTGCATGTGTAAACCGTACTTAAAGGTTAATGCTATTGGCCGAAATAAACTTGGCAATCAGAAAGCGACCAATCAGAATCAGAATAATGAGATTTGGCTGAGACCAATCAGATTCGGTGTCACAATTACTTTGCTTGTTGTTTGCGTGATCAAAAATTTCCCCATTAGCCAAACAGAGTGATATTGTCTTTTTACCATGCACGATGAATCCAGAATTGCGTAGGGTAGCGTTTTCATTCTAGATTTTTTTTGTCGATTACTCTTATCAGATAATGAAACGCCAACGTATGAAATCGAGCCAAACGACGGTTTTTTGACAATCAACAAAACGAGACTTTATATCCATGCATTTTTTAATTTGTCCCAATAAAATCAAAACTTGCACTGTCAAGAAAAAAAAATTATCTATTGAAGAGCTTCTACTGGAAGCTTTTTGTATGATGCTGCGTTGGGATTAAATTATATTCATAAATCAAATGTAACTGGTAATTTGTGGTACGTCTTTGATTTTCCTTGATGCATCTAAATTCTATGTGAGGAATCTACCGTCAATGTCGGCATGGATCGAACGTATTGTAGAAAACACGTTGCGGTTCTTGGGAGAAAATAAATGCGATGACACTCAATCTAAGAAACAATACCCTAACTCTATTAGAAAATTTGTTTTGGCAGGCAGGTGTCAGAAATCTATGGCCATTTCTTAATAGAAGAATTGAATTATACTGATTAGAGAAATCACAGTTGACAGTTTGAAATGAATGGTTAATGTAAATGCTATAACTTGGAAGGAACTTAAAAGAATTTGAAATGGTATTTAATTATAAAGACTGAGTCTTGGTCACGAAAATCGTTTGGTATAATGAATGCAATAAACTAAATAGATATGGATTGCTAAATGAATTGCTGTTTAATGAAGTAATTTTGTTTAAGGGAAATTTTCACAACTCAGCTTTTGAAAGAAAAGCTAAAGCAAGTTCAGTTTGGTTTGCCCATGGCTTTTTAAATTTTATCAACAGATGTTGATATATCATAAGGGTTCATACTTTTTCTGATAGCATAGCAGTCTTTAGTTTAGTACCTTTATCTTTATTTGCTATATTTCATGGCCTTAGATGAATCCTGTTTTTCTTTGGCTGTGCGAAGCTCATCTCGAATTTGATACCTAAGATTTGATGAATTATTAAGTCATGTAAATAAGTTGATATTGATATAGGTATTGGTATTGATATTGACGTCGAAATTGATATTGGTATTTATAACGTTGTTAATATTGATTTTGAATATATTGTTACTGATATTGTTACTGATATTGATAATGATATTGATAATGATATTGATAATGATATTGGTGTTGATTTTGATATTGATAAGGATTTTGAAGATATTGCTATTGATGCTGATAATGATGTTGATATTGATATTGATTAAAAAACTGTTTGCCGGTCTATCATAAAATGTTTGATGATAAAGTGCGTATAGGCATAGGAGTATTCACTATTTGGTGATTAAAACCGAGCGGTTCTAGGTTGACACTCCGAGTTTCACACTTAATGCGGTCATCAGGTAACTGTTCCTGGTGATCGGCATTAGGTACAGTATGTTCGGAGTAGCAACTTAGAATCGTCCTGTTTTGTACACCGAATAGCGGTATTGATATTGACATAGGTATTGATATTGGTATTGATAATGATATTGAAAATATTGTTATTGATAATATTGTTGAAGATTTTGATATCAACATTGATTTTGAAAATACTGAACATATTTGAAAAATGAAGGTATTGATGTTGATGGAAGCTGCTATGTTGTATTTGCAGATCCTATCGTAAAAGATTTTATCAAAAGCTTGCTGACTGCTGTAAAAACATTGTACATTGATAAAGGTTCTTTCCCAGTGTTGTTTCTGTGCTTTTCCAAGCAATTATTTGTCGCAATGTACTGACTAATTTACGGATCGTCGAACGTCTGCTGAGGGATGGGATTTCATTAGAATTCTAATCCAGGAAATGATTAGTTTAAGTATGATATATTGAGATAGGTGCTCAAAAACAGGAAAGATTAGCCCGTAAATTATCAATCGAGGGTTAACTCAAATCCTAAAAGCAAGGTATTATTTTCCAGGTTAATTACTATCAAAGAGAGCTTGATATGTATAAAAAGGAGAGAGAAATCATTATGAACGAAGGTTCCATTGATACTGCATTAGCAATCTCGTTAGAGGATAGGCGTAAAGCGTATAAAGGGTAAGTATCACGTCATGTTCGATAATTTTTTTAATTGACTTTTTCAGGAAATTCATAATCAATCTTGGATCAAACAGGAGTATCAGCCGTTTTTTTATTTTCTTGTAAATCATTTACACGTGAAATTGTACTTTACATTAAATCGCAGTCAGTGTTGCTATATCTGTCTTTAAGTTGATAAACTCTTTTAAAATCAATTACTTTTTCACCGATCTCCACACTACTAAAGTGTGCAGCTCTTTCTTGTTGCAGTTTATCAAAACTTTGATTAAAGAAGATATTCTGGAGTTTAGGCGTTCTTAATATGAAGAATTAAGGCCTAAAAAGTTGTTGACTTTCTAAGCTGTAAACAGCAATTTGATAAGAGCGATATTTTCATCACCACAACTTTATCGACATAAGAACATTAGTGTTGTGAGAATTTGAAAGACTTAATTTTCGAAAATTTTGAAAAGTATGTTGGCAGTGACAGAAGGCTATTCAGCTTAGATGATAAATAGGGTTGTAATATTTTAAATGTCAGTAGGTTTTGATTTAGGATTGAAAGAATGCATTTTCTTGGCAGTCAGAAAGTCTCATAAGAAATTCTGAATAGCATTTAGTGTGCTCTTTGGCAGGTAAAGCAAACTATATTTAATTTGGCAAGAAGGTGAGATGTTGGTCAAAACAATGCATTGTCTGTGCGAGTGTCCATCCAAGTTGATTCTATTATAGCTATAGCAAAACCTATTTGCTTGAATCTTGAATTATCTGGCTTTTTCTTTGATATGCTGCAGAGAAAACGAAGCATTAAGACAATTGGAGCAAGCAAAATCAGACATGGTTAAATTGAACAACCAGTTATTAGAAGCAGTACAGCAGAAATTGGAATTGTCAGAACAGCTGGAAATGTGGCAGGTGAATATCGTACTTTTTGATATCATTTTAGACTTCATATCTGATTGAAGATCTCTTAGTTTTTGGGAAATCTATTGGTACTTTTTCGTCACTTTTATTTCTTCCATTTCTTTCTTCCATTTCTTTCTCGCATTCTCTTCTTCGATAACAGCTCAACTATTCCAGCATTTTAGCATTTCTTCCTATTTACCCATCTCCTCATTCCATGTCATTCTGTTTGGCATTCATCAACGTATTCGTCATTTATTTCTGAAAAATTCATCTTTCCTTCTTCCTTTTTTCTAAATGTCTCTCTTTACTTACCTCTCCCACTTATCTCCCACTAAGCCTCTCTATCGCTTTTTCCATTTGTCTCTAATGTTCTTCTTTGTCTATTTGTTCTTCTTCTTACATTTTTCCTCAATCATTTTCCCTATTCGCCTTGCGTCTTTCTCACCATAGTCTTAATTTTTCTCCTTTCTCTTTTTGGTTTTCATTTACTTCACTGGTTCGTAGAACGCTAGACCTACTAATAATTTGTGTTCTCTATTCTTTATCTTCTTTTTATAGAGATCTTAAGTTATGACGTCACGAAATATATGTTTGAAATTTTTGAATTTTACTTGTAAGAGCATCACCAAAGCCTCTAAATGTGCAAACTCAGTAAGATGCGTTTCTGATCGGATGAGATATTGCCAAATATGCACCGGCTCTTTCCCCATTAAGCCTCTTTACTTCTGTCTCTGTTCATAACTTAATGAATAGAGCCAAAATAACAGAAACCCGTTAGCAAACTCCAAATTTTTCATTGACAATATCTCACCCGATTTTTGCCAAATTTAACTGTTTTTTCTTTTTAGAAGTTTTTCATGGTGTTCTTTCATGTTGTTTAGTCAAAACTCAAAAACTCTAGAACTATATTTTATGACGTCACACTAAAAGATCTTCCCTCTTTTTTTCTATCTTAAGGCTACTCTTCAATATAAGTGTTTTTTGTATTTGTTGCTATCCTAGAACAATGTTTTGCCCTATAATCCGAAGGTTTTAAGTTTATGACACTAAGAAGCTATGCTTATCGAAGCCTGCCTGTCGATATGACCATGGCTCGTGATTTCTACACAAGGATTTACAGAGAGCTGGAAATGTCCCCCACTCTTAGTTAAAGGTAGAAATGGCGGGGGCTCAAACCCCAGACCCTTGGATCTGTAGTTCGTTACCCTATCCACCGGACCAGACTTCACGTCTATAAATGTTAGATCTAAGTTGAAGTAATTTACAGATGTTGCGCCTGTTTGTGTTGCAGGTCGACATGGCAGCACTTATCGAGAAACAACTGAACAAGACGCCGGGAAAACAAGAGAGCAAAGGACACAGGAAATCAAGGCTATTTACGGGTAGATGGTCTTGGTCCTCGGCGACAAAAGCAAGCTAGGGTTATGTAATTACAAATTAAATGCAAAGTAACACTGTCGTCTTGTGAAGGCTGAACAGTGTTGTATTATATTCTTGTTTAGAATGTTTAGAAATATCAAAATAAATTTATTTGTATCTTTAAATTGAGGGGATTCGATCAATCAGTAGTGATTAGAATGATTGGTGTGATTATGATTAGTGATTATGATAAGTGATTATATTTTTGTGTACATAGGCCGTTGTTTAGTGATAATTTTATTTAAGTTTTGCTTTAAGCAAAGATTGGCACCAGGTCAGCGGGTCTGTATGGCAAAATTGGTCCATAAAAATTCGGGGATTGCCAGCAGGCTGGATAAGTAAATTAAAAATGGATGGAACTAGCTGCATTCCGTTGCAATCAACAATTTGCAAACTTTAAATATCACGCGAATCATATTTTTAGATTCATGAATGCATCTTTTACTGTGAGAGCTGCTTTGATGGTCAAGCAATGGTCCCTTCACCTATCATATTTTTGTAGAATCCGAGAAAAATTGGGGCAACGTTTTCCTGATTTGATTATTTTAAAAATGCATTGGCTGAAATCCAACATCGTTTGCCACAAATCCTTATCCAATTTTTTTTCTTAATTTTGTTCCTAATAACAATTTTTATCAATTTGACCCCAAAAGTCACACAGAATTGAACAATAACAAATAATTATGGTTTTTTGCTTTGGTTTTTAAAAAAGATTTCTTGAGCGAACTAAAGTAGCTTAAGATCAAAAATACAATTTCCTTTTATTTGAGACCCTACAAGTTGGCCGAAATATTTATCCTCAGAATTTATTGTAACCCGTTTAGATATCATTTTGAATGCTAAACCTTTTTTATTTTGCTTTTGCAGTGGTGGATTTAATCTGTTTGTTGGTTTAATGATTATAATTTCTCATACATTGTTTAGTAAGTTAACACAACTATTTATCAGTGATTTGTTGCTTGATATTTTTGGCAAGAAGTAAAAATCTAAAAAGCGATCATGCATGTAATTAGCTATCTCAAAATCATTTACGTTATTTGATGTTGTTTTCTATATTTTTCATTTCAAAGCTTTTTGAAAGCAATATTTATTTATTACAGTAGAAACCCGCATAAAAGAACCTAGATTTTTTTCTGGCAGCCTGAATAGGTTCTTAATAACCAGGCTGCTATTCTAAATTCCAGTCTAAAAGGTTCTTAACAGGGTTCTTATATACGTACAGGCCTTGCATACATTAACAATGTTTTCCACCGCAAGAATTCTAATGGACACACTTAAACCAGCTTTTTTTATGTTAGATTTCAACCAATCTAACGAATTTGTGTTGTTAGTTTGTCCAGTTAGAATGCAACATACCATAACCTGATTTATTCTAAAAAACCCTTTTTTCTTATAATATTTATATAAGAACCTTTCCAAATTTCAGCTGCCTGGGGGTTCTTAATTATAGGGTTTTAAAGGTTAAATTTCAGCCTCAATGTTCTTATAAAAACAGTTTCTACTGTACTGATAATTCTATTTTACAATACGAACTCTGCTTAATGTTAACAGGTTCGCCCAGAAATAGAGCGATATTAATCTGGACAATTGATATTTTCAATACTAGATAAATGTGATACAAATAGCCCCAGTTTTATGTGTATTTAAGGCCTCCTGAGCTAATACAACCCCACACTAGACAAATAATAGTATACAAGATTGATAGTTTATGAACTTGAATAGCATTCAAGGTAAAAAAGTCTAAATGCAGTAACAGTAGTTAATAAATCTTGCACCTCTTTGTATAAGTTTTGTTCTTGAACGTAATTTCGAGAAAAGTGAATGCATTCAATTGAGTAATGGAAAACTTTTTCCTGAGCTTCACATGGAATCTGAACTTTAAAAGATAACATCAGCTTATTTAAGTATATTTTTTATTAAATTAGATATCTTTTTTGTTAACTTTACTTTCTTCTTTATCTTGCTACCATATACTAATTTATTTTTCTACGCACTACAATGTATGTTAGTATAAGGTGTAATTGTTGTATTTAATTGTAACGAAACATTCCAAAACGAGTTATCTATATCGTTTTTCACTATCAATTAGGTATCCGTGGATACCCTCAGGTACTCAGCAAAAAATACGAAAGAAGACAGGGGTGCTTTTTGGAAAGTAATTGATCCATAAATATGCCCTTGTCCCCCCCTACCCGTAATAAAATTTTGGAATACAGAAAAAAGTGAAAAAGACCTTTTACTAAAACGAGTCTTCATTCTCGCTTATCATGCGATTCAAAGATTGCCCACTTGAGAGGTCTGGGACCCAACTTCACTGTCTCCCACTGCCTGGAGATTTCGAGAATTCAACTGAACCTAATTGGATCAATCAATGACATATACTATTTATGAAAGAAGAATACTTTTTAGAAGAAACTGAAATTCATAGATGTTCTTTGAAGGATTATGATTGATAAAAACTAAACCAATCAAAGGTGCCTTCTTTTTTAATGGTTGATTTCTCCCGCATTGTCATCAAAGTTTGAAGAGAGATATCAAATTGAAATAAGTGGGCAGGGGATCACAAAGTTTGCTGCTTCGAAGTTTCCACTCTTTATTGAAATCAGGTAAAAAATTTGTAGGTTAGCGTATCACCTAGGGTACCCTGGGAACCAGACTCACTTTATATAAAAAAAGAGTTTGGTACCCAGAGTAAAACCTAGGGTAGATATTGAAAGATTCACGCAAGCCACCACAGAATATTATAATGCTACCCAGCATGTGATTAGAGTTGGATCTAAGGTTTTACATACTTTTAATTGCATTCTATTTCAGCTTGGTAGGTCTTTCAGTTAAAATCACTAGTTTTTATATAACTTGTCAAAAGTTTAAAAATTGGTCCCAACTTCATATTCTAGATTTATATCAGGTGTTAACAGAATTTATTATCGTTTATAAGTTAATTTCTTGAGATGTCCCCTTTCCCCCAAAAATCTTGAAAAGCTAAAGGTAATTGCAAACTTTTCGGTTCCCAATGGCATAGTAAACAGAGCTCAACAATCATTACAACAAAATATCTTGATGCAAAATAACATATATATTGGCAGGCCAGGATGCAAAATTCATGGCCAAGGTCTTTCACTTCTCGGTCTCTCCTCCACCTCAACTCCAACCAACCCTGCTGCCCAACTCATTATTCTAAAGGATTTTAACTCACTTTGCAGGATAAAGAATAGTAAACTCTTTCTGGCTTTAAATTTTCTCTATTTCGAGCAAGATTTCCAGACATTTTCAGACTGTTGTCACTATTCTCGTAATTCTCGTCTGCTTTCTTGTTTTTAAGCAGTTTTCTTCATCTTTCTCTAATTTTCTCCAATGCCCAGCAAATTCGCCAGTCCCTTGCAAGTTTGAAAGAGAGAAAGCTGCCGGTACTTTTTTTTAACAATAACTTGGCTGAAAAAACGAACATAAATAGCCAAAATAGCTTTGTATGATGATCATAGTATGACTTAATAACGTAACAATTTCCTAGAATTTGGCCACACATTAATCAGCGTAAAGAGATTTATTTCAAATGATTGATCGTGTTAAAATATGTTACAATTCATAGTTTTTCCTGTAAGTACGAAGGAAAGCATTTGAGATATGACATTACGGTTTACATAAAACTTTATGTAAATGTGTTGAGGTTTTCCAATGCCTTGAATGAGGTTTCCCACCAGATTTTGAAACAATTCAATTGATTTTAATTAACAAAAAGATTTAGTACTTTCTAAATATCATTTTTAGTTATAAATAGCTGTCATACTTCTAGCCAACAAGGGGAAGAAAATTTACTTTTGCCGTCAAGCAAAAGTCAAGCACCCATCTAACAAGTTCTAAAATCGGCAAGCTTTGTTTAGCAATTTCTTTGCTTAGATGAAACACTAACTGTCGCAAAGTTGGTGACCAAAAAGTCTCCATTCATTCATTTTGAGGCTCTTTCGACTTTTGTGAAATGTAACAATAAGCTCGTTTTAGCATCTTCACCTTTGTTACTGTTGATATTTTTAGCAAATGTCCAGCGTTAGGTCAAAATAGAAGTCCGTATTTTCTTATCCACTAAAGTGTAAAAGGAGTGAATTTTGGCACTGTGAGCCATTAATGACCTTTAAATCTTGTTACAGTTTTGGTAATGAAATGCTATGCAGCGTGATACACGACTTACACCTATTTCCTGGAAACGAATCCTAAATGGGATTAATGATGAATACCCCTGTCTTATGAATATAAACAAAGCCTACCGAGGGATTTAGCGGATTATTGCACCGTCTTAGCCAACAACCATTAAAGGAAACAGTCATTCTTTAGAGCGAGCTGTGTGATTTCTGGATTTATTATTTAGATCTGATAGCACATACCATCACGAGATAACAAAACGTCATGTTGCATTTTTATCACAAAATTCGATTATCGTATGAACGTTTGTCTGCAATGTCATATTAATCCAAGGCCTTATCTTAAAGATATCTTCAATGAAAAATGACGCGTGTATACGTTTAATTATAATTTGCTTTCGAAAGCTTGTATCAATGAAGATTAAGTAAACTGTAATTTTAAGAATAAGAGAGCTTACCATAGGATCATGGCGGCACTACAAAAAAGTACCACTCATTCTCAATATTTGTTTATTTTGAGCCATGTGGCTGTTATGAATTCTATTTTTGCCAATCCTTGTATGGGTATTGTTCTTATATAAGTCGGCATTGAAATTTCATACATTTGCATGCAATAGCAACCTAGTCGTATATTTTTAGCTTCTAACAATTTACCAGTTGGTTTGGTTTGCCATATATCGTTCAAAAGTTATGATGCTAGGTACAAAGAGCACTTTTAAGACACAACCAAAAAATGCATCTGTAAATGGGAAACCATTTCTTTCGCTAGTTTCAGAAGCAACTTCACTCTACTAACTGATGAGTTACCAAGTATGAGAGCATCAGGTTTAAGATAACAGGCAACAGCCTAGAATTATAAGCAATGTTGACAAATTCGAGCTTAATCTTAAAATGACCTCAGATACATAATCAGAACTAACTATTCTCGTAGTTGCCATTCAATTGTTCTTAAAGCTATATCGATTTTGATTGACGTTTTTGTTTGGGTTGGCAGAGAGTAGAATGAATTCAAAATATACGCGACTTTGAAATAACTCGATGTTTGAATCTAGTGAAGGTCAATTGAATGATGATTGAAGCCATTTTAATCCATGCACTGCACTACAGTCCAGCTGTAGCATGTGAAAATGCAGTTACCTAGCCACCTATCTGTCTTATCTCATTTTAAGTTCATTTTAATTTTTGAGATTCCACCACATAATAAAATTATTCTTAAACTAGCATAAAATTATTTAGGAGTTACAATCATTAAAGGTATTGAAATGTTAATGACAAAATATAAGTAAAGATAACATGGAATTTCTTTTAAAGGAGGGTCTCCCTCAAAAGATAAGGCATCTCTTTAATCTAAAAATTTCAAATCATACACATCTTTAAATGTAAGGATTCTATAACATATAGGAAGGAATTAAAATGTTTGCTCTGCCAATATTTAGCAAATGATCAACACTTCAGTAAAGAACACACAACACACACACAGTACAGTGATGAAACACAGTGATAGAATATCAGTATCGTTTTAGGCTAAATTCCGAGGTCCCCTTTGCATCAGAACGACCAGGGCAACTAAGAGCTCTCAGAGACCCAGGTGCAAAACTGAAAGGTAAGGTAAGGTTCCCAATGATTATTATAAACTGAATAACTGTTTGCGCTACAACGCACTAAGATAAAATTAAAATACAATTTAGAATATTTCTCACTGTCTCTTTTGAAAACTTTTAAAAAGTTTGCTATTTTTAAGCATACCTTGCTATGTTTGATCAATTTCCTTTCTGAAATAAAATTAATTACATTATAAGGTCCCCTAGACCTTAAGAGCTTTAGGGAATTAGCCCCCCTGCCCCCTCGGCAGCCCTGGACACAACTTCTTGTGTAAAGACTGTTTTGGAAATAGCTCATTCTTGTCAGGGGAAACATTATCACAAACATTTATAAAAATTTGATTAGCTTTCCTGTTTCAAAATCTCAAACTGGTAAACACAGAATCATAGCTAGTTTAATCCACATGGTATTTATATTTCATGTGGAATAACATACTCTTATGGATTGATTAAAGATATTAAAGTTGTGGCACAAGCATGGCAGTCTGCTTGTCAAAACATTTTTTATTGTGACAAGATTTATTAGGGCGACAAGCTAAACTTATGAAATAGGCCCACATTTGCAAAATAAGATATTCAAAGTGTAAGTATTTTGAGCAGAGGGTCGACTGTCAAACGAACAATTAATTGCAGGAGGATAGAAATGTTCAGCTGATGACCTGCGTTGTATCATTGGAAGCTAAAAAAACTAGCCTGTGTTCCAGACCCCTATTATCACTTACTATCAAGCACAAAATGACGTAACAGCATCTATTTAGCAATAATCCAACATAAAAGAGGACGTAGATTAACGGATATTTTTGGGAGAGTGTAGGGTAACAAATTTCTAACTGACAATAGGCCAATTGTAAAACTAAAATTGTTCTAACATACCTACAAAACATTAACATTATACGGTTTGTTATTTTCTTACTGAAAAGAAAATATTCTCATCATCAGCGTTATATAAGATTATGCTATTACGGTAGATAGGTTTTATAATTACAAATTAGATTTTCCGATTGCTCGCAAATTCTCCGACCAATTCAGAGATTTAAAAGACTCGGCTGGGTGTAAAAACCTCACCCTTCCAGCTTTTACAAGTTCTGGCCATAATAAAAGATAACAGATCATATGAAGATTTACCTTAAAATATGCGGAGAAATGAACGCGTTTTGTACCCGTATTAGTTATACTTAGTAGCTTAACATCTTATTTACTAATTGGACATAAAGCATGTAATATATAATGTGACAAGAATGAAGTGTTTTGTTGTAGGACCTTATAGTAAATAAAGCATGTAAGATGAAGTGTTTTGTTGTAAGACCTAAAATATCATATCTCATTAGTCCAACGTGTTTTCTATGTAAAAATATCAAATTCACTGAAATTAATTTGTAAAGTTGAGTGCCCTTACATCTTCTTGGGAACGCAGGGTTTAAGTCCCATGGACAGAGTGAAAAAAGCAAAGGCCAAAATGATAAAGTCGATTGTCACAGAAGCAATCATCTATTCAAATCAGAAAGATAAGATACATTCGATGGCCGTAGTAGGATTAAAGAAGCAGATATTTCTAAAAAAGTTTATGAAACAGTATGAGACTAGAGATATAATTTCAAATCAAACTGGATAAGGAAATAAGAAATATAGATCATACCACGATCGCATCACAAAATGGTTTAAGTTTTTAAATTTTGTTCATATAAACTGAAGCAAAAATAATTTAAAATATTCTTACATGTGAAGAACAAGTTGAATCTAAATAAAGTTAGCCTCAAATCTAAGTCTCTTACTGTAACAAATCGATACAAAACTTATAAGCCAGGTCAAAACAGCAATAATCCTTTTATATGCTTTATATTTGTCTTTTCACAGCTATATCATAGCCACTTTGTTACAGATTTGATTGATCTTTCATATTTAGGAGTAAATTTCGGTTTTCTTTTGAACTATGTGGTCCAAATTAAAAAGTTCTGAAAATAGATCTTCTGACGTCATTACTTAATTCTGTTATAAAGCAAATTAAGTCTGAGCTCTAGAAATATGTTTCTTTTATAGAATATCAAAGCTCCGTGAAAGAAGAATTGATTAGATGATTTTCGAAATTCTTATGCGCATATAGAAAACCCTTTTTCCCAGCAAGCTCTTTTTAGACAAATTGAAGACTGGAAAATAGAACTAGAAAGAGACAAACATATTGGTGCTGTTCTTATAGATTTATCAAAATCCTTTGACTGTCTACCAAAAAGCCTACTTTTAGCAAAACTACATGCCTATGGTGTAGATATATCCGTCTGATAAGAAACAAAGAGTCAAGGTGAAAGGTCATTACAGCTCCTGGGTCAAACTTGAACAAGGAGTGCCACAGGGATCAATTCGTGAACCTCTTCTCTTCAATATTTTTAAAAACGAAAATTTTTATAGCCTTTATAAAGGGTATTTATGTAATTTTGCTGATGAAGAAACAATATCTGTTACTGCAACAAATACCGATAAATTATTGCAATTTATAAAAGTTAACA